CATAGGCTAGCTAGTAGCCCCCGACCACTCTATTCACATCTCAGAACTTTCAGGTCAAAATACGCCGCGAAGTGTCTAGGGCCCAGTATAAAGGGTGAATAAGTTCGCGGGACATCGGCGGGTCCTTATATACCTGCGGTACCCTCTCCCCAAAGTCATTAGCAAAATCGTCGGTTAGGTCAGGCGGGAAGTTTTCGCGGGAAATTTTCGCGGGAGATTTCCGTTATTGTTAAATAGATTATTAATTACGGTAAACTACTGAGACGGTTTAATTTAGGGTGGGCATAGTGCACGACTGTAGTTCACTCGTTCCAAATCAGCTCACAATATACAATAATAAATCAACTAACTACTTAACAAGCAATTCATGCAAATGCCTTGGATGGTTAATTATTAGTAAACAAAATTCAATATCAGAGAAAATATATGAAAAATACTGAAAGAAAAATTTCAAATTAATTTCAATTGCTCAAAGTCATTTCAATATCCTATTCGACAAGTCTGAAGAACAACGATGACTAAAATTCAAATGTTTATTTACCTAAACCTTCAAAATAATTTCGAAATATTTTATTCGAAGCGGAGTATTCCAAGTCAGTATCGACAATTGAAGAAATTATTTGATTGTATTTAAAAGAACCGAAAGGAGAATATTTAAAGTCTGATATTAAATGTCTAGCAAGTACCAGTAATTGGTAAAATGATTTATATTTGTTTTAAAAGGAAAATTTCTAATAGGTATTAGTTAAAATGAATTATTATTCAGTCTATTGTATTGAAATTCTAATTGATTCTAATGTATACAAGTGTTACAAGAAGGCTGAGTGTGTACAGGGTGGACATAGGCTAGCTAGTAGCCCCCGACCACTCTATTCACATCTCAGAACCTTCAGGTCAAAATACGCCGCGAAGTGTCTAGGGCCCAGTATAAAGGGTAAATGATTTCGCGGGACATCGGCGGGTCCTTATATACCTGCGGTACCCTCTCCCCAAAGTCATTAGCAAAATCGTCGGTTAGGTCAGGCGGGAAATTTTCGCGGGAAATTTTCGCGGGAGATTTCCGCGGGAGATTTCCGTTATCGTAACACGGTATAATTTACCAATTTTTACAATTTTGTTATAAATTTATACTTCCGACTATTTGTTATAACATTGCATATAACAATTTATACGTTTTTACAATATTCTTCAATGGAAACATAGGTTTTAGCGTTCTCGTTATTTACTCGTGGTTAAATTAATTTCGTAGGGATTAAAAATCAGGTTGACCTGTGGTCGTAGATTAAAAATAACCATAGTACAGTTAAATTTATCGTGTTAAATAATTCTTCTTACACGAATGAAAAATGTATTCAACGTTTGTTTGTTATAATATCGTGAAATGAATTATTTGTGCAGTTCTGTGCATTTTCTGTGCAGTTCAACCTAATTTACATATCGAAACTAAATTAGAATCCAAACTTACTGACTCTTGTAGAGAATTTACTGTACTTTGTCTAGTTTGGTGGAGAATATCGTTTATCGAGAATTATTTCATGGTATTGTTACAAGCAAACGTTGAATACATTTTTCATTCGTGTAAGAAGAATTATTTAACACGATAAATTTAGCTGTACTATGGTTATTTTTAATCTACGACCACAGGTCAACCTGATTTTTAATCCCTACGAAATTAATTTAACCACGAGTAAGTAACGAGAACGCTAAAACCTATGTTTCCATTGAAGAATATTGTAAAAACGTATAAATTGTTATATGCAATGTTATAACAAATTGTCGGAAGTATAAATTTTTAATAAAATTGTGAAAATTGATAAATTATACCGTGTTACGATAACAGAAATCTCCCGCGAAAAGTAATCGGTTTCCCGCGAAAAGTTGGCGATTCCCGCCTGACCTAACCGACGATTTTGCTAATGACTTTGGGGAGAGGGTACCGCAGGTATATAAGGACCCGCCGATGTCCCGCGAAATCATTTACCCTTTATACTGGGCCCTAGACACTTCGCGGCGTATTTTGACCTGAAGGTTCTGAGATGTGAATAGAGTGGTCGGGGGCTACTAGCTAGTCTATGTCCACCCTGTACACACTCAGCCTTCTTGTAACACTTGTATACATTAGAATCAATTAGAATTTCTATTACTAATTATTAAACAAATTTTAACAATTACCGGCACTCGCTAGGCACGTAATATCAGACTTTAAATACTCGACTTCGAACTTCGGTTTAGTCATAATTCTATTAATGTTATAATAACGTATAATTTATTAATTTTCACAATTTTATTATTAATTTATACTTCCAAAAATTTGTTAAAACATTACATATTATTATTTATACATTTTTGCAAGTTTCTTTGACAAATAAGTACGTTTCAACGATCTTATTACTTTCTCGTTGTGAAATCAAGTTCGGAGGATTAAAAATCAGGTTGACCCTTGGTCGTAAATTTAAAATAGCCATAGTGAAGGTGAAATTATTATTTTAAATAAATGTTTCTATACGAATTAAGAATCTATTCAACGTTTGTTTGTTGCAATACCGTGAAATAAATTGTATTATATATTTTCTCAGTTTAGACTGAATTTAAAGTTCGTAAGGATTAGAAATCAGGTTGACCTGTGGTCGTAGATTAAAAATAGCCATAGTGAAGGTAAAATTATTACGTTAAATAATTGTTTTTATACGAATTAAATATTGATTCAACGTTTATTTGTTGCAATACCGTGAAATAAATTGTATTATATATTTTTTCTGTTTACACTAAATTTAAAGTTCTGTTTACATGTTATAACAATTAGAATGTTGACGTTTTGCCGTTTCACGGTTTTTCCTCTGTTAATTATGTGTTTATAAATCATTTCAAACTAAAGCAGCACCATGCCCACCCTTAATTAAACCGTCTCAGTAGTTTACCGTAATTAATAATCTATTTTCGGAATTTATACGAGAATTTTTGAATTTTAGTAAATACTAGAGTCAGTGTCCACCCTGTACACACTCAGCCTTCTTGTAACACTTGTATACATTAGAATCAATTAGAATTTCAATACAATAGACTGAATAATAATTCATTTTAACTAATACCTATTAGAAATTTTCCTTTCAAAACAAATTTAAATCATTTTACCAATTCCTGGTACTTGCTAGACATTTAATATCAGACTTTAAATATTCTCCTTTCGGTTCTTTTAAATACAATCAAATAATTTCTTCAATTATCGATACTGACTTGGAATACTCCGCTTCGAATAAAATATTTCGAAATTATTTTGAAGGTTTAGGGAAATAAACATTTGAATTTTAGTCATCGTTGTTCTTCAGACTTATCGAATAGGATATTGAAACGACTTTGAAAGGTTGCTTTTTCGTTATAGCATAACAATCAATATGTACTTTTCCCCCAGCAGTTGGAATTAATTTGAAATTTTTCATATATTTTCTCTGATATTAAATTTTGTTTACTCAGGTATTTAATGTAATTTTTTAGCAATTTGTTTTTGTAATTCATCCAAAGCGATATATTATGAGATTAAATTAATCACTCAATAAGTATTAACATTAGATTGTTTCCTCGATATGGCCATGGTGATCATCAGTGACTGGAGTGCCTCAAATGTTTAGAATAATTAAAATAAAATAAATGTTGTCAACTACAAATTTTGAACGTCATAGCTAGCTAGACATTATTTTCAATTGAAAAAAAAAATTATAAAGCATAATACTATAATCCTATGCTTAAAATGTATTTTTTTGTGGCCGCCTGATAGCAACCTGTAAATCTGGCGTGACAGTGAACGTGTTAATGAGTAAATGTTGTTCAAATAATGTCGTGTTTGATGTCATTTTCATCAGAAAAATCTCATCAATATGTTAAGAAAAATTTCGGGATAAAAAAACGCGAAATTAAGAAAGTTGATATTTTAATCGCTTGGTTGCCTGTACTCACGTTTCATGCTTATCTTTTATTCGTTGTCCTTGTCTACGTTCGGCAAACTACAATGGCGGGCGCGAGGCTCAAAAACGTAGTCTCTGACTCTACGAGTGTCAAGTTTAGCTTCCTTGCGGTCTGACACTTGTGAAGGATATACTGTATTAGGAAAGTTTTCATTCCTTTAATATTACTTATAGTTAGCAGGTAGCAAAATAAAGTTTCTGCTTTACTTTCGAGGACTTTAATTGTGGACTAATTAGTGTTTCTTATTAAATAACAATTTAAATGGCAGTTTATAATTATTGGAAGGCTTAAATAAAATTATTGTACGCTTTAACTTAATAAAACAGTTTAATTTATTAATTTCGCATTGAATTAACAGTTGCATACAGTAGATTAGTTAAAAATTGTTTGTAACTTTTATTGAAAATAGAAAAATTAATGTTCTTTTCGTGTGAATTACATATGGACTTTCCAAGACACCATAGAAATCAAGGAAAGGTAATGAACATCAGGAAAAATGAAGAAATGCAAATATTTATCAAAAATTCAATACTAGACTGTAAAATTGAGAAAATTTTTTAAAGTTATTCTCCATTTACTTTATCTGGACTAGAAGTTACTGACTACGACTAAATTCTTCCAGCTCCACTGTGTCTGTTTAGTGTCCATACTTCATTTTTCAATACTAAAAGTTCATAAATTTATCGTAAATAATGAGTTACATATTAATCTTCGAAGCATAGTTCTCACTTTTAGGCCGGTCGATCACTACCACATTCATACAACGCTCCACCGCAGAATCGTTGCTCAAGTAGGCGTAGCCTACTGCTCCAATATTGCTCCCATGCTCTCGTTTATCTGACCACTTCACATAAAGCAACTTTGTAAACAGTCCTGGTGTAGAGGAAATTTGATTCACGGGAAAATAAAATTATCGAAAGGAATAGTATACATTTTTTTCATTTACCGCATTTATATACAAAAATTTGTAATCTGGAAAAGCTTGTTTATAACAATTTATATTCTTTGTAAGCATCGAATAAAACTCTTTAACGGACATTTTACTGTATCATGAATTGTGTGAAGGCGAGTATTCCTGAAATAAGTAATGCAAATTAACGACAAAATTGCTAATTAATTGAAATGCTAATTAAAGACAGGTACTTACGATCGATCCGCGCCCTTTTAAACCTGTCCTCAACAAAAGACTTCGTTAAATTTTCTATCGTTTCCTCGTCTTTATAATTAAATTTTTTCATGTTTCCCTGGATTTGAAGATATCTGAAGATTTTATAAGTTAAAAATTTTGCAACAGATAAATTTAGATCGAAATCTATGGCATATTTTTAATTGTAATTAGAAGGATACAATTCATGGTAGTAATTGAAAGCTTCAGTAGCCCATTCTAGGAGCAAATTTAATCTTGGTGTATAAGGTGTACCATCGATTAATTCCTTTATTGTTTCGTCGTTTAATGAAACTTTGCTTCGTGCATCTTCCAGATTTTTTAAACGATTTTTCAGGTCCTAAAGTAACACGTGCCTTGATAATTTTATTGTATCGCCGAATAATTAATGTTTAACTTTGACATAATTAGTTTTATGCACTTTCGTACGTGAAATATTTTCTCAATCGTAAAATTAAAAATTAAGACACTGCTTTAAGTAAAAAATACTTTAAAGAGCATTAATATTATGCAACAATAATACCAAATACAGTATAAATAGAAAGATTAAAAATCATAAGCTCATTCACTTGATTAGTATTATTGAAACGCATTAAGATGTCCAAAAGTAATCCAAGTTCGTCGTCAATTCCCATAAGGATTTTAAAAATTAATCTCTCACGTAGCTCGTCTATCTTGCAGAGTTCTGCATCATTGACTTCCTCGCTGTAACAAAGTGACATCTGACGGCAGATCACTGAAAATTCTCTGGCAAACGTCGGTGCAGCTTAGGACTGTGCACCGAGTTTCCACTCTAGCAACTACATGTGCCGAATGTCAGACTAGTGACAAAACTCGTGTAAAAAAAAAAGTAGAAAGTTAACGTTACCTTATAACAAGCCGGAGTTGCTCTGATTGATTCTTCAAAGCATGTAGGGGTCGTTTGGCTTCTTCAGATAACTCCTTCCATTTACAATCTACTTTCTCCAACTGAGAGAAATAATTAATCAAATATTTGTACAGTTCCTTGGCCATGTCGTTTATAGGTTATTCTTTACCGGATCGTTTAAAACATACTCACATGTAGGAAGTAGAGAGCGCTAGTTGAGATAAATATTATCGACACAAATTTTTTTTTACTGATATATGTAAATATGACAATTCAAGTAAAAATACCGTAAATTAAGCAAAACGTTATTACTGTTATTCCACGATTACAAAATACAATCCTAATTATGTTTTGAAAATTATTTAAATAATTAAAATGAGTTAATTTTACATTATGATAATTCGGAGATATTTTTACTACTTTTAATTATCTAATGTGTAAATGTTACGCTTCCTATTAATACGCTCTAGTAAAGATGATTCGAATGAAAGGTATAATTATTGAGCGCCTAGGATTCTTTTGCACATAAATAACATTCTGATGAATGAATTTACCTATTTCTCTTAATTAAATCAATTACTTTTATATATAGTATAGGGAAAAAAGGAAGTAATTTGAAGGTTTAATCGCAACGTACTTAAATTCAATCGTAATTTGCTATAATATCCATATTACACAATAATAGTTAATTTCAAATCAAACAGTATTGTTGTAATAATAACTTTGAAAAGTATCGTTTTATCTGTTTACCTTGATCTAGAACAAAATTTCTTCGATTAGGCGTGTATAACCGTTTTTATAAAAAGAATATTAACGTTTAAAGTTGCGATACCTTGAAAAAAAAGATAAACACAAACCTTCAATTTCGAGTTATGCTTTAAAGTGTCTGTTTTCCTCGTTTTTCAATAGAATTATAACGTCACTCGTAAAGTTAATGGAGCCTTAATTTCCAAAGATATCTCTTACTTTATTAGTCGCTCATTTTAAAATTGGTGCGTCTATGGTGCCATAACGATATTAGTTTCGATTTTATAAAAATGCATTTGAAAATTAAAAATTTCGCATATTAAAGATTGCATATTTAATATTTTCATTTTTACGTAAATTTTTTAAAATTACATGATTAAAATACTTTTTAAATTACGAAGTATATTTGTAAATTATGCATTTTTCAAGATATAAGAACGTTTCAACAAAATTTTGAGGAATGTATATAAGATATATATGTATGTATTTTTACGAAAGTGTACAAACAAGAATTTATATTCCTCAACGCCGAAATAAATCACTCCTATTTTTAGGACACTATTTCACGCTAATAAATAATTTCAAATGAAATATTTCATGTACTAAATACGAAGTAAGTTAATTATACGTCAGATTCCGATAATTCTTCGTTCATAATTGTCCAGAAATCGTTTGTTAAGTCTGTCAAAATAAGACACAAAATAAGACGAAAATATTATATAAAATTCGACTGTAAAACGGTTCGTTACAAAGTTATAAGCAAATATTGAATACAGCGTGAAATATTAGGTACGCGATAACTGCAAGCCAACTGTTATGACTAATACTGTCAGCCACATTAAATTGTCTCAAGGCACGAAACATGTATATACATATAAAGTTAACACGATCGACTTTTCATATTGTGCAATGCAAAAATCGGTTTCTACCTACGCATCATTTTTCATGTTGATATTTAAAATATTAACCGGAATTATTTATTCGTAAAGATGAAAAACTAAAAACAACACAAGGGAACCAGGTAATACACTAGCCGTCCCTGATTCAATTTCGTCGTGCCACTTCGCTCGCACAGGGGAAGTCGACGTAGAAGCCCGAAGTAACTTTCGACTAAACGGCATGGTGCGCACGCATTCGACAGTATCCCCCGTGCGTTCGGTTGGGTTCGGTAACGGTCGGAGAGCGTTTGGCCGGTTCGTCCCGCGGAACCGACTGTGAGCACAGTAGATCGTCGACCGACTACCCCTTCACGTGCGATCATGTGTCGCCGCAGTTGATTAAGAGCTCCCTTTTTTTCTTCGTCGTTTTTTTTACTTCGTCTGGTCTCGGCTCGTACGTTATTATAAACAGTGTCACAAAGCTCGAGAACGTCACTGGAACGTCTCGCACCTGCCGATGCGTATTGACGTTTCGCGGCTAGCAGTGTATGACACGTCGAACTACTAAGCCGCATCTATCGTCTCATTCTCCCCCTGTCTATCTGTTTAACCGTTTCTACTCCGTCCCTCCGTTTCTTTCGCATTCTCTGCTCGTGTTCCACACGGGGGAAACATGGATGAGGTCATCGGAAAGATGCGGAACGAGCACGAGGACGTGGATGCTGCGTCCCTCGGCGCTGACATCCTGAACCCCTTCGTGCATCGTCTCGAGCTCGATACAACCTACGATAAGCTCAAGGTCAGTAGCTCTCTAAATCTCTCTGCACGCGGAAATCTCTTATTCTCCCCCGGGATCGATGTTCACGCGGATCCGAACGGTTTTAGTGGATTGTCAAGGGCGGGGCGGGGAATTTGATCGTTGCAACAACGGCCACGTCCGTTACTTTTCGCCCGCAACTCCTTTTATTTCACATGTTCGGCTATACAGACACAAATTTAAACCGCAACTGTCTATCCGTAAAAATAGAACGGATTTTTGCCGGTGCGCGGGCACTTTCTTTGCCCCGCAATTCGACGACCGTTCAATCTCGCACGGCATTTTATTCGGGGGTATGCCACATCGTGGAGGGTTACGTAAACTACGAATCGTCGGCGCGACGTAAAGATCGGCTTTCGACTCGGGGGAGGTGAAATTCAACGATCAGGCCACCTGGTCTCGTAGAATATGCGTCATGCCATCCATTTCGGCCGTAATGTTACATTGCTAATGTATCTTCGGGAGACATTCGCGTCGATGTTAATTCGCATTTCTGACCGTGAATATGAAACATCTATAGAATGCGTAATTATAGATACGTGAGATTTGGATTAAATGCGTCACCGATTGGATACGCCGAATTTCTGACGATGTTGTTTATATTTGGTGGTATTTATCAATTAGGCTGAATTACATGCACGTGACGCAGGCATTTCTCTCGATTAGATTAGATCTCTCGCTAAACAACAGCAACTCGAATATCGAAAAATACAAGTGTTGCCATTTAAAGGTTAGGAAATTTCTAATAAATTCAAACTTACAAATATCGTTTCCACAAAAGCAATAAAAGTTTGTTACAAATTTTAAAATACTTCTGATGCACTTGCAAACAATTTTAACATTTCGATAAATTATTGACATTTCCGAGTTGTCGAAAAAACCTATGTATGTAAATTAAATTTTTCAACTTCTAACCTCCAAACTATCGAATTTCCGCCACAGCTAATATTCGAACGAAACGAAATAATTTATAAGCCCGGAGCATCTATAAAAAAAAGCTGCACACAGGAGAACAATTGTTCCTCGCGTAAAATCGATACCTAACGTACATAAAACCGGCGACCCAAAATATTCTAGGTATTGTGCAAAGAAAAAAGAAAGGAAAACCAGTACACCAAGTCAGCGATGACAAAGGAGATACTTTTATTCAATGCGTAAGCAGTATATAATCTCACCACGTGGCTCGTAATTAACAAGCGATCTAGTCGATCGCGTTCTGGCACAGCTCTGCGAATCGACAATTCGCTTAACGATGTACATTCAGCGTGACGGTGAAATACTTTTTGCACCGACACGCGCGTTAATTAACGCACGTGCGCACCTTTCTATAGTTGTTCGTGCGGGCGCATAACTTAAACGTGGCTCGAAATGCATCGTTTGAACAGGGGAAGGAGGAGGCTCGAAAGCGTGTGCTGCATCGCATTTGATGCGCGCATCACTGCCTCTTCTAACGTCGCGCGGAATACGTGCGATCGTTGGACCGCCAGAGATGGAACAACGTTAAAAGATCGCGTCCTCTTTTTCCAACCGTTGTCTCTGTCGCGTTTCTTATCCCGGGCTCTCTTAACACCGCCGCGCGATTTCACTGCGTTAGCGGTTGAAAAGCGCTTACGTGCACGTACCAAAGTGAGTTTGCGTTAGAGGTCTTCGGTGGAAACAGATGAATGGACGATGTAATTTCTCCTCTTGTTTGTCTTATGGAAATTCTCCGGCATTGTAACCGGTGGAGAAAAAAGGCGTTATTTGTAGAGAAGCGGGAATAGTGTCGGATCGAAAAGTTTCTATTTCGCGAGAAGCAAAAATATGATTAGACCGAAGAATTATTACCAGGGCCACGTTTACCGTTGAGACGCATTGGGCGCAACGCTGGGGCCTCGCTCTTTTTTTTTTTTAAACCTTACTTCTCGCGAATAACGATGTAAAAAATAACTTTTACTGATAGTTGCAAAATAGAATATTTATTTTTAAATATTAAATTGGTAACGTAAAAAGAAGAGTTACTTAGACTTACTCTTTCGAGGCCTCCAAAAGTATAAATTCGGTCCTGATTATTACAGAGATAAGAGAAAACTGAAAAATTAATTTCTTCGTTTGTTCGAACGTTTTTTTATTTAAATTCTAATTAGTAGTATAAGAGTTATAAATTGTAAATATAGCAGGGTAAAAAATTGAGCGATATACGAAATATAAATAGACAAAACGTTTGTGGCGTGATCAAATTTTAAACAGTATTGGTTAAACTATGCTTAACTATAGTACAGATATTCGTGGCCTCAGGTATAAATGAATCGAAATTATAGTTACTACTATGTTTCTCTGTGTCGTGCATTATTGCGCTTCTGTAATTCAAAGTAAACCGTAACTTCCTACCGCGATGTCTTTCAAATTGAGCGTGAAGTAAAATATCGCCTGATTAATGATCGAAATCGTTAACAGAAGAAGATTTATCGACGACGCGCATTCTGGCACGCTATTATGTTATCACAAAACAGTTGTTCGTAACGTAGGCAGCATCTGAAGTGAAATGCACGATGCAAATGGATACTGTAGCAATTTTAACGGCATCATTCGGTCTTATCTAGGTACCGTTAAATCTGACGCGTGCATTAAGCAAAATTACAACGTGCACACCGTTCAATGAATAAGCGCATTTCTCCTGCAACAACTATTTCTTACCTGATCATAATCGAACGATGAGCATGTA